TGTGGCCGAAGATGTCGCCGGCGTCGAGCTGAGCGGCGGCCCCGTGCGGGCGAAACTAACGGCGGCGGTGGGCTCAGCCATGGCGGGAGCAGCAGCACAGGGGAAAGGGGAGGAGAGGGGAAGCTCACGGGGGCCGTAGGGAAAAGGCAACGGGCTCGGGGTCGGCCGGTGAGGAGGAGACCGTGGACGGGGCGGCGTAGACGGGGAGGCGGCGCCGACGACGGCGGGTGGCGGGGTGGCTCTGGCGGGGGTGGTCCGGCGTCGACGCAGGGCGTCGGGGGCGTCGATTGCCCCCGACCGGATCCACGCAAGAGGGAGGTTGAGGAGGCGGGCGACGGCGGGGCAGCGTCGGGCGGCGTCGGTGAGGTGGCGGTGGTTGGCGACGGCGCGCGACGGGTCGGGGGCGTCGGTTGCCCCCGAACCAGATCTACTCGGGGGCGGGGTGGGGAGACGAGTGGGATCAGGGGGAGGAGTTGGGTTACGGGCTAGGGTTTCCCGTGGGTCGGGGGGTTATGGGGAATTGGGTGGCCGTTTGGGCCTTTTGGGCTGGTGGCCTGCTGGCTAGCTGGGCCATTCGGCCCAGGGGGAGGGGGGTTCCTCCTTTTTCTTTTCTTTTTTGTTAGTTTCTTTTTTCTGTTTTTTTATTATAGTTTTAATAGCCTTTAGTTTTGTAAAATTATAAGACCAGTACCTAAATGGAGGTTGCAATTTAGCCCACCGCGACAATATATTTTGGTATTTAAAATATTTAGTTCGCATTTTTAAATTTCAAAAGGGCATTTATAATAGGTTAGCTGCTGTTTTATTTATTTTAGTGCATTTGAATACTTTACAGAAGTGTGGTTTCTTCTCCATAATTACGTACGCATTATTTGGCACAACCCGAACATTTTAGTTTTAAAGTTTGAAAACTTTTGTTGTTTGCCTTTAATTCAATTTTGAATTTGAATTGGTTTTTGAACTAACGCGGGATTAACTACAGTGACAGAGGTGACGTGGCATCAATAGCAGGGAATTAATGTAGTCTAATTATCCGGGCGTCACAAGATTCAATCAACAAAAATAGAAGCAATACAAGTTAGACATCATACGTAACATGCAACCACATATAAAAGTGCCAAGTTATGGGGACTCTATGATGATGAAGTAGGAGAGATGTGCTCACGTTGAGTGTCTATGCATGTGTTGTTTTATAAATCTTGTTGGAAGGACGATGGAGTAGAATCTATACTATGACTCGTGATTAGCATGTAAAGACATTTTTAGAAAAACTACCAAAGCATGGACATTCTTTCGCGATTGGCGCGTTGATTCGATCCAATAGCCATCGTGTTATTCTTAATTACTGTTTATCTCTCTCTCTCTCTAGCTCGGCTAGCAGCGGGTCAAATCAGATCGATTTGCTAGTGCAGCCGTAGCTACAGCACTGTATCCACGCCATGTTTTATTCGAGGCTAGCTCTGCGTGTGAATGAACTATATGGTGAACAATACTTTTAAAATATAGTGATCTAAATGCTCTTATATTTATTTACAGATGAAGTAACTACGTACGCATATGTTGGTACAATAGAAAGCAGTTGGTCCACCAGAGCAAGAAACAGCAGATAACATTAATCGATGCTACACGCACGATGAAAATAGTACAATCCTTGTAAAACACATGACATGAGTTGTTGGTTTCCTTGTGTTTCACTCTGAATGGTCCATGTTAGTTAGTGTCGTACAAGGATCATATGGAAAACTATCGCATGCACATCGTTTTCGTCTTTTTCTTTTGGCGAAGGAGATAAAAATATTTTGTTTAACCCACCCGCCCACACACGCAAACAGTGGGTTATCGGCCACGCATTAATTCCGCTAGATTATGTGTAAGTACTACAATGTACTGTAAGTATCTGCCACGAAAAGCCAGGCAACAAGTAACGTTAGCATCCCATATGTATTCTTGCATTGTTTTGTTTGTGTATATATATACGAATCTATCTACGGAGGCAGGAGCGGTGTTGGTGTACGACGACTTTAGGAAGCTTCGTAGCAGGTGCGCGCGCAGGAGGCGACGACCGGAGACGGTGGAGTCATGGGCACGTAGTGCTACGTACGCGCGTATGATAAGCGCTAGCTTAGCTTGAAATGGCCAGGGAGCTGGGACGCAGGACGTTTTGGAACTTGTCGCACGCATGCAGGCCGGAGCGGGAGCGGGGGCGGTGCGGCCCGGCCCGGGCGGGTGCGCGCGTGGAATGGGAGGGAGGGGTGGGCGCGCGCCGCTGTGCGAGTTCGTTGGAGGAGTCCTGTGGGCGTCCGTTCACGGTCCACAGCTAGGTGAAACCACGTGTAGTGCAGGGCGAAAGTTTTTTTTTAAGACTACGTCAATGGCGTACCATATTTTTATAGAAGAAAGAGAGTTAATTATAAAAGATCCGTCCCTGATGCGAACAATCTGGGGCGGGGGACACACACCCACACCTAGCTCCACACTCGCTAAGTTAACTCCTTACAAATCGTTGTAGACCTCCTACACCAAGCCCAAGGTTAGGGACGAGGAGTGCCGGCTTCTGTTGATCTTGTCCATTGAAGACCCTGGCGTTGCTTTGCTCCCATAGTGTCCAAGCCACCGCGGTCATCAGAGTATCGAAGCCTCTCCTATCCGCTCCCCTGAACTTCTTCCTCTCCCTCAGCCACCAAAACCGAGAAAGTGTCATTTTGCGTCGTCCCTTGCACGTTGAGCCTGAGCAGGTCAAACACGCGGTGCCATACTTCCTGAGCAAAGGTGCACTTGGCCAGATATGGTCGACATTGTCCTCCGCTTGCGGGCACGTGAAGCAGGGCGATGCTTGGTCCTGAAGCCCATGACGTGCCCGTCGATCCGACATCCACAACTTGTTCTGCAAAGCCAACCAGACAAACAATTTGCACTTAAGCGGCGCCCAGCTCCTCCAAATACATGCCGCCGTCGGAGATCTCGAGAGGTTCGAGCAAAGGTAGTCATAGACCGACTTGGCCGAGTAGCTCGCAGTAGTAGACGCCGGCCAACTGTATGTGTCTGCCTCATTCAAGTCTCTATGCACCAATGCAATCGCATGACAAAGATGCATGCATTGTATTTTGGGCGGTGAAAGAAGCAGTGGCATCACAGTCCTCCAACCATCTATCATCCGCTAGCGCTTGATTGACGGTCCGGCTGTTGATGATTCTAGTCGGCACTGTCGCCATTAGGAGCGGCGGAAAAAATGTGCAGGGCGAATGTTAACTCGCTCGGATTGAAACAAATGCCCTGTGACCTAGTTGTCTATCCATTGTATTGTCCTTTGTTTTTCTCGATATTAATCAAATTTAAGATACGCTTTGAGTGTCTTTATTAAAACAAGACTTATCTAACTTTCCAAAAAAGAAAAAAGAAAACCTAACCTTATCTAGCCGTCTGACCTCTCTGGACGACCATAATCTTGTTGTGCATGATCAGACATGCAATTATCACCTCTCACAATGTCTCAGGATCCCACATATTTGCATGTCCACAAACAATAGCTCAACGAACAGTTATCCTCTGGGTGTGAAAACCCCTAAAGTTGACATAATGCTCCTCTTTCTTCTCCATTTCTCTGAGGAGATCGTCATCATCATCAACTTGTAGCCGCCATCACAATCGTCAGATGACAGCGAATCGAATAACTTGTTGTAAATAAACTCATCATCCGAGTCCATTGTGTATCCTTACAAATGTGCATAAAACAAGGTAGAACATATGTTCGAAAATTTTGTCTCATAATAATTGATGATTATTCTATATTCATTTCGGTATTTTTTGGGATGATAAAGGTAAAACCCAAGGCACATTCAAGACTTTTGTAAGAAAAGGTCAAAGCCATACTATTTAGGTCAAGATCAAGAAAGTCTGAAGTGATAATGGGACGAAGTTCAAGATCACCAATATTTACGTCTTCCTCGATGAAAAAGGGATCAACCACAAGCTTTCCACCGCCTGTACCCCAGGACAAAATGGAGTTATGGAGAGGAAAATGAAACATTGACCGTGATGGTACACTATGCTCGACGAGTATAATGCGCACATATGCTTTTGGCCGATGCCATCAACACCATGCGCACCGCCATCAATCAACTATACCTCCACGAGCTCCTCAAGAAGGTGGTATATGAACTTCGTAGTAGAAAGCCCCAAGTTGGATATTTTAAAGTTTTCGCGTCCAAACGGTTTGTTCTTGACAAGCACCGTAGAACTGGATTTTCTCCTAAAGCTCACGAGGGATTTGTTCTTGGTTATGGCCTCAAACTCTCACACACATCACGTATTCAACAATTTCCCCGGAATATTCATATTCCAATTGTTTTACTATTAAAGTTAAAAAATGAATGTATGATATGCTGGTGCAAAAATTCATATTCCAATTGTTAACAATTAAAGTTAAAATGGAACTTGTATGATACGTTGGTGCAAATATTCATATTCCAACTGTGAACGGTTAAAGTTAAAAGTGCTAAAACTGAGACTGGAATATTAGCCATTTGAAAATGGAACTTGTATGATATGTTGAAAGTGGCGTGGGAACAAAAAATGTTCCGTCGCCGGGACTTGAACCCGGGTCTCTCGGGTGAGAGCCGAGTATCCTAACCACCTAGACTACGTACATTTGCAAATCTTACTTCTAGTTACTGAGCACAATGTTTGCGGCATCTTCAATCGTATACGAGTGACCTCATCTGCTACGTTTGACCCTCCGCCGGTTAGTGCTCTATAATTTCCTTCCGCTCTCCCTTTGGTTGAGAGAAATAGGAGGATTCTGAGAAGCAAACCGAGTGGGACTCCTCGAATCAAGTCCGCGCCTTCATCCGCAAAAGAATCCCCGAGTGCCAAATCCAATCCACTTCTTCGCGTATTCGAATCAGGTGTGTTCTCGGTTTGTGGTCTATAAGTAAGTTACCCAAGAACTCCAAGTTCACTGAAGAAAATTCTGCAAGCATCCTGCACTGATCAAGAACACTATGGAGGGCGCATCGCGTGATCTCCCTCAGGACATCTTGACGGACATATTTGCCACCCTCGAGATCCCCGATCTCGTCCGCGCCGGCTCGGTCTGCTCCTCCTGGCGCTCCGCCTACTCCAGGCTGCTCCTCCCTGGGCACTACAGGCGCCCCCAGATGCCGTGCCTCCTCTACACATCTGAATCTGCCGGCGAGAGCGTTGCTTGCCTCTACAGCCTCGCGGAGAAGCGGACGTACAAGCTAACTCTTCCAGGGCCACCTATCAGCAGCAGGCATCTGATTGGGTCCTCGCAAGGCTTGCTCATTACAGTTGATGACAGATCTGAGATGCACCTTGTCAATCCCATCACCGGTGAACAGATTGATCTCCCTTCGGTGATCACCATTGAGCAAGTGAAGCCCGTCTATAGTGACTCTGGTGCTCTTCACAAGTACGAGTTCTCATGGCACTCCGCAGCAAGGGTTTACGGTCCGCCATCGGTCTCGGCTCCGGAAGAGCTGAGGAGCAAGCTTCACCATAAAGCCTTTGTGTTTTCTGACGATACGTGCAATGGATACATTGTGGTGCTCATACACAATCCATTTTGCCAGCTCTCGTTTGCAAGGGCAGGGGGTGACAGTTGGATATGGCTGCCACCACACACCCACTATGACGATTGCATTACAGGAACGGCCTGCTGTATGCGGTCACTTCATTTGGAGAGATCCACGCGTTCGATCTAAGTAGCTCTGTTGTTACGATGAAGATGATTACAGGTGAGTCCGATCTTGAGGACCGGTTTCTGAATGCTTACATTGTGCAAGCTCCATGGGGCAATCTTCTTCAAGTGTGGAGACTATATGAGCACTGCGATTTAGAACCCGAGCCTGGGGCATCTGTGTTTTGGAACACCGGAGAGCTTATAATATATGAAGTCGATGCTTCGTCAGGAGAGAGAACTAAGAAAACCAGTTGCTTGCGCGACCATGTGTTGTTTCTTGGGCACAATCAATCACTCTGTCTTGCTGCTCAAGACTATCCGGCTCTCAAGGGAAACCATGCCTACTTTACCGATGACAATGTGCTCTGGACAAAGGGATTCAAGAACAACCCCCGTGACATGGGAATTCTCGACTTGGGTAATAACGGCAGGGAGGAACTTGTGTCTCCCCAGCTTTGCTCCAACTGCCCGGCTCCCGTGTGGATTACACCCAATCTTAGAAAGATAAATTTGGCTTTCAATGAATAGGTTCTATTTTCCTTTATCTATAATCATATGTAATATAATTATTTAGTTTGGTAGGTGATGGTCCTGTGTTGATTTACACCTTTTTGTGTGTGTTTTAGTACTCTATTCGTACACTAGAACAAATTTTTAAGAAGTTTTATGGTAAGTTTATGCCAAAATATGAGAAAAAAAGTAGAATTGTCCAAAAGTATCATCATGCATCATATAAAAAGACAAGATTGTACTTATATATTACAAAACATGAGTGCAGTCTTTTTTCACAACTTTTCTGTTTACTCATATTTTTGCACAACTTTTCTAATTACAATATACATGGATCATATTTTTGCACAACTTTTCTATTTACTCATATTTATCATGTACTAGTGCCATGCTTCTTTTTTCTTTGATCTTTTTGAGTTGTATACAGAATATAGAGTATAATTTCTCATGTAGTTCTCTACACAATAAGATGTGTCAAATCAAATGTAAAAGTTGAGGGATTTGGATGAACTTGCGATGTGTACTCTACTGTAACATTCAATCTTGTATGTTGCTGGATTTGGATAATAATAGGGAGTGGCATGCTATTTTCATTCAACTGCACGTTAGAAATATAGGAAACGTATAGTCTCTTTGCTGATGTAGAAGATAAGTGCTAACATTTGTGGTAGATAAGCATGAAAGTGTGCATGATTATTCTTTCAAAATGCACCTGTGACTTGTTTAAGTATACTGTACAGTGGTGATCTGCTTTGGCAGCTATATATACAATTACAAACCTGCATCATTTGAGTAGCTCATCCCGGGGGCTGAAAGACATCTGTCAGCATGTGTGTTGGCTTAGCTGCAGCTAGTTGGGCATCGACTAAGCTGAAATAGCTTGTCTTTCGACAATAACAAACTATCTGATCAATATATTGTTTCGAAATAAAACAAGATGTGTCTCCTTCCGTCCATCTTTGAGCAGGGCTCTAATTCAGTCCTTGTTGCCAGCTTATGTGCCCCATCTGACTCGGTATGTTTCAGCATACAGATCCAGCATCTGTGAGCCGCTTACATTTGATTTTATATCCATCTTGGCCTAGCTGATCTGTAGGAGCGCTATGTTGTGAATCTGTTTGCTTGTGCATCCCTGAATAGTACGAGTACAAGATACATAGGCTATTTTTCACTTGGCGCAAAATAGGAAAGTTGCATTATGACCTCCTTGGTGCTGTATTTTTTTAATTATAATTTGGCCGCCCGTGTGTCTCAGACATGAACCGATTCCAGTACTACTTTTGTCAAGTTTTAGTCTTGGCTCTGGTATATCTGTTCCTGTCTTTGGCCTTCATTTCTGCTAAATTTCAGTTGACTGATTTTGATTTCTTGCTTAGTCGAAATTTTTGTCCTTCAGATTTCTTTAAGCGTGAATCTCAGAGCATGGTCCGATCTCTTTTCTGGTTTTGTGTCTTGCACATGCCGCCGGCAGGGTATGTACGCCGTGTGCCGCCTTTTATTTTCCCCTTGTTTAGTGCCTGTTCGGCAAGCGTCCGCTCCACAGCTCAGCTCCTGGAGCGGCTGGAGTAGCTGCGGAGTGCGCCGAACGCGTTGGCTTCGTGCCTCTCCCACAGCGGAGCGGAGTGGCTTGTAGGCCATTTTTTTGGAGTTGGAAAAGTGCCGCTCCGTGCGCTCCGTTTCTGGATAGAGCTGGGAGTTGGAAAGCGGCGAGTGGACGTCTGCCGAACAGGGCCTTAGTCTGTTCTGTTTTTGCCATCCGAGTTACGTCGCCGACGGGCAGTGAGGATTTTTTACCCCTGTAGCTCTGCGCGCTGTAGGCTGCAATGATTTCAGCAGTCCTGCATCTATGCTTATGGATTGTACACTGCTAAAATTTGTGTGGAGGGATGCACAGTGGATTGGTAGGCAGTTCCCTTTGTTTGGTTTTTGATTTCAGCACCATGTTCTGTACTTCTTCAGTTCAATTTTCAGATGGTTGTTTTCCAGAGTTTTTCTCCTTCTGTAGTGAGATCTAATATGAAGAATAAGTATGCAAAACCGAATGGGGGTCCAACTTGTGGACCATCTGCTTGGTTACATTTATATTCTGAGATGACATAGTTGATGTGCTTTTTTTTAGTAACCATGTCCTGCTTCTTCAGTTCAGTGCTCGGAGCTAGCTCTATAAGCCTACGATATTTCATGTTTCTCAGTCTTTATGCTTGCATAGTTCTATACGGCTACAATATTGAAACTTCCATTTTTATGTCTTATGAGAGAGAATGCACTAAGCATGAAAGCAGATAAGCCATCAGATCAGTACTGGGACTCTCATTTTTCAGTTTTTGAAATGCTCTCTTTCTGTCATGCCCTAGGGAGATTAGAGCTTGCGGATAGGCACGTCAGAGGTGCCGTGCCTTGAAACAGCGCACCGAGCCAACATCTATAGGGTTACTAAGCTCCCTTGAATTTAAGCTCTTCTGGTGAATCGAGGTGTGTGAAGAGTGCATGGGCCCTAGGTGATAGTGGGTGGGACATGTTGTGTGGACAGCTTGATTTTATGTATGTCTATTTTTCTTGTATACGTGGGCAGCTGGGTTTTCATGCTCCTATGATTGTTCGGTGAAGAAAAAAAAGTCTATTACCACACCCAACCAATTAAAAACCCTCACTAATCATTTTAAAATTTCGTGAATCCTTTTTAAAACATGAGCACTTTTTAATAGATACATGAATATTTTTAAAACTTTATGCATTTATAAACGTGTGAACACGTTTGAAGTAATACATGAACATGGTTTGTAATTATATTAACATTTTTCAAAGGGTGTGTCTAGAACTCAATCGACTGAGACTTAACGAAGTCTTAGTCGAGTGACGTCAGCGTTGTTTTTTTTTTTTTGCTACAAGCGGCATGACTGGATGCTATAAACGGCGGCGAAAATTGTTGTGACGGTATTGCAAGCAACACGAATAAATGCTACAACCATTCTAACTGAAATGCTACAACCATCGATGAAAGATGTTGCAACCGATGAGATGACATGCTACAACCAATGAGGGACGACATGGTACAACCAGCAAGACGGATGTTGCAGCCGGTAGAAAAAAATATTGCAAATGATGGCATAAAATGTTGTATGGTCGACTGAGACTTGGTTAAATCTCAATCGACCGATTTTTAGCTCTGCCTCCCCCGGCGTCGGCGCCAGCCCACCCCGTCTTCGGTGGCCTTAGGGCCATGGGAGCAGATCTCAGCCCTTGTCGGTTGGACGACTCTGTTTTTAGATATGTTTTCGAGTTTTGTTATGGTTTGTGTCCTACACGGGAAGGTGAGACGACGGCGGCTCCCTGAAGATGGAATAAACGTCTCCCCGTCTAGTCCCTGTTCCGTTGATGCATCTACGATTGTCGGTGGGCGTGTGGATGTGTGTCTTCAACGAATCTGTCTTTGATGGATTTGCTCGGATCTGTTCATCATTCGTCTATATTCTTGTGTCTTTAGGTTGGATCCTTCTGATCTACACTCTTCATCCACGACGGTGGCCGTTCTGGTGCATTGGTTCTATGGGGCCTGAGCACGACGACTTCCCGACTGTCTACTACAACAAGATTTGCCCGGTTCCGGCGAGGGAGGGGCGATGACAGCAGCACGCATTCGGCTCGCTTCAGTGCTTGTAATCGTCGCTAGGTGGTCTATGGATCTGGATGTAATTTTTTATTAGTTTTAGTGTTCGTTGTACTACCATTATTGAAAATGAATAGACTGGAAGTTTTCTCGAAAAAAAGAAAAGGAAAAAAAAAAAGAAAACCAGTTAGGCGCCTCAGCACATGTTGGTTTGCAAAACTGCCACCTTTCTGAGGAAGGCGAGAAGCTCTTAATTGGTTGGCTGTCCTTGCAGCAATTTCAAGTTCAGAGTTTCATACACATCCACACATTTAAACTAGTTAGGCGTCTCGGCAAGATAGAGATCTTGATGGTGGACATAAACTTGGCAGGGTCGTGCACAAGCTAGAACTCCAGGTGGTGCATATTTTGTAGAAATGCTATCCCATTGGGCGTGTACTGTCTTTTGATTTCCTCCCTTTTCTCCTGTTTGATCTCATATACTCCCTCCGTTTCAAAATAGATGACTCAACTTTGTACTAACTTTAGTACAAAGTTG